CAACCGCATACAAAATTATATAGCTCGTAAATTTACACACAACTTTAGAAAATAAACATTGCAATCTCCAAAGATCACATTAGGTCCCGATATACCTTGAAGGAACAAACATCCAATATTCAGAGAATTACATACTTATAAAGAAAAACAGAGAGAGAGGGAGAGAATTAACATTATCATCGTGGGATAATATTACTAACAATATAAACAGAACCTATAAATCAAAAAAGAAAAACTAACCTTTTATTTTATTTACCAACCAGCTAGTTCCTCCTTGAATACTCGTCGACAATGACTGATAATAGAATAGCAAGAGTGAAGGAAGATACAAAAAGCTAATTAAGAATTAATAAATAATTAAGCAAAAAGTATTGGGTGCAAAGGAAGGGAGCAAAGTATAAATTGCTGTAGTACACGCACAAAATAAACAATTCAACCTGAATAAATTTAAAAAAAAAAAGGTAGAGGAAACTACTTTTCTTGGACGAAGGAACTGGCATTGAGCCCATAATATTAAACTAACCAGCCAGTACATAATACGATATGGAACTGAATCGTTCTAGAATCGTGGAAGAACAACGCACCAAAAAGTTCTCACTAAACCGAATACCTCTTCAACAAAAGGCCAAGAACAATATCATTTGGAATTTGAAATCACATCGCAAAACTATGTTTTCCAAGGAGATTCAAGCATAGGAATTGCAAGCCATGTAATATTATGTCCAAAAGAAGCGGAAGGCTTATGCTGCTTCCTATCTGAAAAGGAGACCACCATCATAACTTGCACGTTTTCCAAATAACCACTTGTAAGACACAATTATCCGTCTAATAAATGGTAACAAATTTCCGAACAGAACTGTGAAAATTGGAGCGCTCGCTCCGCCAGCTAAGATGGAAATCTGACTAACGAGACTAATTAATACGATCATTCCGGACAAAAGTGTGAAACTTATCGAATTCAATTTCTCAACCCTAGGTCAATGAACCAAAATTCCTCTCCAGAATCCAAACCAGAATCAAAATTGCCACTACAAATAATTGTAAAATTAAGGCTCTAGGTGTTAATTAAGGAAAGAAATGAAAATCAGACGCTGGACGATTCTACGTATCCGACATCATAAGAGCCTCAATCATGATATAAAGAAAACGAAAGAACGAATTAAAACAACAAAGGAAAGCGAATACGAAATCATACAGCAATTAATAAAGGAAAAGAAAAGGGAGAGATAAGTAGAAATACATTAATATCGTCGCCGATGGAGCCGATCTCCTTGTTGGCCTTCTGGTTGAACCAATAAGAGCCTACTTTGTTCATAACCTGATCCATTCCGACCGTCGAACCGAGCTTCAATCGAACGAAAAAACCAGCAGAAATCGATCCAAAACGAAGAAGCTACAGGCCAGATAGATCAATTTCGAAGAAATGGCGATCAGAGAGAGAGATGAAGTTGTCCCGTCTCCCTCTCCACGCGTTCTTCCGTGCGACTTTTCTGAAAATTGAAATTTAATTGCAACTCTCAGATTTTGATTATTTTAGTGTTTTTATCTAATTTGCTTTTTTTTTTTTTTTTTTTTTTTTTTTTGACCAA